AATTGAGAAAATGGCTCTGTATTTAGCCTGTAGGCAAATCTGTGGGGTATTGCTTTGATTGATGATTGGGCAGGTGGAGCTGAGTGGTATAAGGAAGCAGGCTGAGCAAGCTATGGGGAGCAAGCCAGTAAGCACCTCCCCTCCATGGCCTCTGCACCAGCTCCTGCCTCCAGGTTCCTGCCCTGACTTCCTTCCACGATGGACTTTGATGTGGAACTGTAGGATGAAATAAAACCTCTATCCACAAGTTGCTTTGGTCATGCTGTTTTATCATGGCAGTAGAAACCTTAACGAAGCCAGTTTCTAGGAACTTTTATGTTGAAAACATCTGCAAAGAAAGCAAATGCAGAAGCAAAGAGGCCTGTTGGGAGGGGCTGTAGCAGCAGGAGATGATAAACTGAACCGATAGTGATCAGATTCTGGGTATGGTCCTTAGGCAAAGGCAAAGTTATCTACTGGAATATCAGATTCAGGGTATGTAAAAGAGAATAAAAGTGGCTCCTAGGTATTGGGCCTGAGCAACTGGAAGGATGGAATGGCCCTACACAGAGTCAGGCAAGAGAAACATAATTGCTTCACTTCCTGTCATACATCTGAGATCCCCATCAAGCATCCAAGTGAACTCAGATCAACAGGTTGGTGGCTTTGCCCACACTTGGCAGCTCCCCTTGCAGATGAGTGTAATTAACCCAACACCAGCCTGATGCTCCACTTCACTCTTCTCATGGCCCTGGAGGGATAGTCTAGTTGGTGATGGTTACTCTGGTTCTCTGGTTTGGCTTTCCTGGTTGCAGGGAACCATTCTATCAAAGCTTGATAGTTTGAAGGCAGGGGATTTGTTCTCTCTATCACATGTCCACCAGAGGCTGCCTATTTTCTTGGTTTGCATTTGTCTCACCTCCCAAGAACCTAGGTTCAGAACCTGAGTGTTTTTTGTTTGTTTTTTTGACACTGCACTCACCCTGTGCCTAAATTCTACCTTCGGCCACTTCACCAGCCCACCGGTGCGGTTCTTAGAAAAGAGGCTGGGACTGTGCTGAGCTTGACCTCAGGATACGGCTGAAACCTGTGAAGCAATCAGAGTTGTTTTGCTGCACTAACACCTCCCTACCAGGGACAACAACAGCGCCCTTTCCCTACGCCAAGGCCCAGGAAGCAGGAAGATGATGTCCCGAAAGCCAGTCTATGAGGACTTTGTACAGGGATTAAACATAAGTTATTTCTCACATTACCCACTAGAGGCGCCCTCTTCACTCCCAGTGCCACAAGGAGGTGTAACCTAAGCTTTGATCCTCACTTTGCAAGTTCAGAAACCCCATTCTGTCAGCTCATGTGGCTCATCTGTTGATAACTGAGCTCTGGGTGCTAATTCATATGACCCTGAGTCATAGTCCAGAATGCGAATTACCAGTTTCACAGGCAGCTGCAGCATTCCCGTGCTTGACCAACTTACAGTCCCTTCCTAAAGCACCTCTAAGTGGTATCTAGACAGGAGACCAATTAGTAAAAGGTAATGAGAAAGTACAAAAATAGAACTAAAAAAAAAAAAGGTGGTTTTCAATTGCAGCTCCTGCCACAGGCTTTGGTCTTGTGCAAGTCAAATTCTTCTGTAAATGCTGGGGGCAAGACTGCCTGCGTCACAGACCTGCCAGGATAGGCCATGTGAAGCACTTTGCAAACAGAGCCTAAGATGCTTATCAGGGCAGAGGAGCCTTCTCGTGGATCTCCTGTGTTGGACATGTCTTTTTTATTACTTTGTGCATATATATGGCAGACACAGGGCGAAGTTGGAGCCGGGTCTCTGCCCTCCATATTGGCTCTTTCCAGAGAGCATGTTCTAAGGATGCAGAATAGGTTTGGTGGTGTTTGTTGGGTTTTGGTTGTTGTTGCTTTGTTTTGTTGAGACTGTGGCCCAGGCTGGCCATGAACTTAGTATGTAGCCAAGATGACCTCCAATTTCTTCTGATCCCGCCTCTTACCTCCTGAGTGCTGTTCTGTAATAGTGGCATTACACCACCATGTCAGGTTTAATGGTGTTGGGAATCAAACCCAAACCTTGGTACATTCTAGCAAGCACTCTGCCAACTAACCTATGACTTCAGTTCCAAGAAAAGGTGTTGTGTAGCAGTTTTACCCTGAGATTGAAATATTCCTTTGTAGAGAAGCTTCTTTAGAAAGAAAATAAGCTACTCAAAATAACTTCAGGAAGTCTCCAAAACCAACCAGATCCACTAGGCCCCTCCCTCCCAAAAGTAAACAATCCAAGCCGTTTGAAAGTAGCAGAGAACAGCCAAGCTGCCTGGAAGGAGCCTCGGCCAACTGAGCTACCTGGAAAGGGTACCCTCCAACCTTTTGGACTGCCTGCCAGCTGGGCAGTGTGCTCAAATTTCCAGATTTTTAAAGCTGTCATCATCTCTCTTCCTGTAAGTAACCCATTGCTCATATTGCTGTCAATAACCCCAGTACAGCTAATTGGTCTCCAGGTTTGGTCTCCAGTGGTATCTGTATTTTGGTCTGTGGTATGCTTCCTATCTGAGGTGAACAGACTGTACATTGCATCTCCCTAGGAAAAGCCTGTTACATAACAATAAGTTGATTCCAAACCACACACCTTCATTAGTCAGCTCTTCAGCAAAGGGCCTTCAGAGAATCAGCTGCTTCTCCCCAGGTTCTCACCAGTGGGTCTTTAGAACCGGCGTTTCTGACAATGCCCAGCGATGCTGATTTCGCTGGTCCAAACCGATCTTGCTGCTTCTCCCTTGTATTCGGGTGCTTCCTTGCCTTTTCCCCAAGTTGAGGAGAAGTTTACACTCTCCCTGTACTTTTGACATTTACCTGAGTGATCATCTCCCATGTCTACACAGATCTTCATCCATCTCTGGCTCCATCACATTATACTAAAAGATTCAGAATCCAAGTACTTTAAGCCACAGTATCACAGGAACCTGCATTCTACTTGGAAAGCATTCAGGGAGTGCCTGAGCGCTGGGTGGGATCACTTCTAAACAGGAAGCTGGGCTCAAGACAATGGGCTCAGTAGCAGAGTTCTTTGAGGGCAGCTCTTGGGAGTTACGTCTCATAGCATCCTGTGCCCATGCCCCAGCATCAAGGGCCCTGGCACGCTACAGGCCATCTATTTTGCCCGTGAGGGAACTGGCTTAAGGAAGCAGAGTGGCTTGCCCAAATTCAAGAGCCTGGAAGTGTAAGAGCCAGGTCTTGATTTAGGCAGTTTGATACAAGTCAGATTGTGTTACACTGTAAAACAGTGTTCCATCGCTTCTCATTTTCTCTGGACATTTTTTGTTTGGTGTTGTTTTCTGTTTTTCAAGAAGGGGTTTCTCTGTGTAGCCTTGCTGTTCCGGAACTAGCTCTGTAGACCAGGCTGGCCTTGAACTCACAGAGATCTGCCTGCCTCTGCCTCCCAAGTTCTGGGATTAAAGGTGTGCATAACCACTCGGCTGGACATTTTTTAAAAATCAGTTCATTTAGTAACTTTAATCTCTCTTTGCCTTACCTTCCTCCATATACACTGTCTTCTGTAATCTCCACCACCACCACACACACACCTTGGGACTGGAAAGATGGCTCAGCAGTTAAGAGCACCAGCTGTTCTTCCAGAGGACCTGGGTTTGATTCCTAGCACCCACATGGTGGCTCACAACCACCTGTAATTCCAGGGGATCAAAAGCCCCCCTCTGGCCTCTGTGGGTACAAGACCTGGTGCATACAATACCTATACACATAAAATAAATACATTAATTAAATTAAAAGCTTTTTAATTCATCTTATGTATATAGGTGTTTTGCCTGCAAATATGTCTGTGTACCATGTGTGTGCTGTGCCCATGGAGAAGGCGGTGTTAGAGCCTCTGGGTGGTTGTGAGCCACTGTTTGTCCTTACCCATTATCTTGTTCAAACATTTAAATGTTGACCATATGGGACCTAGAACTGACCTTTTCATCTTCCCTTCAATTACTACCTTCTCTTCTTCCTTCTGTGTTTCCTAAAGTAGTCTCCAGCACTCTCCTCCCCTTCTTGTCTCAATAAACTGTAATCTGATTTTCCCCCATATGCTCTTCACACTGCTGAGTCTGCAGTGTTCCAACTGCGAAAGCCTTGTGAGCTGTTCGCTGAACCCCGAGCTGCTCGGTGCTCTCTTACCCTGAGCTTCACTCGCCTTCCTGGCCCGGCGCCGCCCTCAGCACCCTACCTGCTCCTCCTGGAGCTGTCCACCCACTCAGGTGAATATGCCCCAGGGATCCACACGTGAGCACACTTGCTGGAGAGGCCCTAGTGGAAGGCAGGGCAAAGCAATGAGCCAAAGCAAATGAACTCTTAGTATAGGGACAGGGAGTTGACCAATTCACTCATCGTAATATTTTCAGGGTTGTTTGTTCTGTTTTGTTTTTTAAGACAGGGTCTTGTTCAATAGCACTGAACTGACTGGCTATGAACTCAAGACGATCCCCCTGCCTCAACCTCCCAAGTGCAGGGATTACAGGCATGAGCCACCACTCCCGGCCTTCATCTTTCATGTAAGAGGTATCTACTGAACAAATTACTCCACATAAACTTTGCTTTAAAAATGTTCTGTCAATTTCTGTTATCACATGCAAATGTTTACAGAAATATTTTGGACAGTGTATTGTCATGTACAGATGTTTAGAGAAGGGAAAAAAATTTGGCTGTTAAGACTTTGTGAAGATGATGGTGTTTAAGTGAAGTTAAGTGGCAGGAAAGAGGAAGAATATGAGCATTCTATTACAGCACTAGAGACTGGAGGACAGTGATAGAAGAGGAAGGGAAATGGGAAGCAGGAAGGCGATAGAATAGGTAAAGAACTCAAAGACAGCATTTTAAACTTGACTAAAAGAAATCCATTATTCCTAACAAAAAATACCTTTTGTTTGAGCAATGACCCACAAATAATATTGTTGCTTATCAACTTCCCTCACTTGAACTTGGTGGTAATATTATAATAATAAGATGATAACAGGAAGTATTTCTTAATGATGGCTTTAATTTGAATTTATGCTGGCTCTTAAGAAACCATCATAACTAGAAGGAAAGAGTATGTCAACATTGAAAGGAGTCCACAGCGCTTCAAGTTGGAGGCCATTTGGCACCTGGACCCAGCTACCATTCAATTCTACCAGAACAGCAGTCACTTGAACAAACGGAATTTCTTCAAATACTGACTCACTTCTTCCTTGGGGTATGGTCTGAGGGCAATGCAGGTGGCAATATTCTCTGGTTGCTCAAGCCACAGCATGTGGTCAATGTTCTTCTCCTGCAGGGTCTCAGCCAGTGTCTTCAAAGTGGTCTCATCAGCAGCCTACGAGTTGCAGAACATACAACACAGACTGAATGGGCCATTTAGGGTCACAAAAGGATGGTGGGGGCTCTGAAACTAAAGCTGTGGCTCCCTCAAAGAACTGTATAGCAACAGTTCTGTCCCCTCTCTTTAGGATCTTACAGAAGAGGCAGAGGAGGAGACAAAATAGTCTGTTAATAAATGCAATTTTCTTTTCTCTCTTGAATTCTGCTGTATAGTTTCCAGTTTCCTTATGACTGGTGCCTACTGAAGCTCACCCTCATCCTTCGGCCATCTCTGACTCAACTGACCACTGGGAAGGATTTCAAAAATTACATGTACTTTTCTTCTCCCTTTCATTCTTTCAGGCGCAAGCCTAGCGTTGCCGGAAGGACACATCTTTCAACTGTCTGACGTAGAAGGGCTCAGTCCACTGTGGGCAGTTCCATCCCCGGGCAAGTGGGCCTTACACGTAAGGTATCTGTACATGTAAGATACCTGAGAAAGTCAGGGAAGCCAGTAAACAGTGCTCCTCTGCGGTTTCTGCTTCAAGCTCCTGTCTTACGAGTTCCTGCTTTGGCTTCCCTAGGTGACAGATGCAACCTATAGATGTAACAAAACCCTTTCCTTCCCAGTTGCTTTTGGTTTTGGTGTTTAGCACAGCAATAAAAAGCAAACGAGAATATTGTATTATGCATGCACACTGAGGGAAACTTGCAAGATTTGGGTCTCTCCTCCCATCAAGTAATCCAGGGATAGAACTCAGGGTGACAGATTTGGTGACGTGTGCCTTTACCTAACAAACCATCTCACCAACCCTTAATTTCCCCCCCCCCCCCCCGAGACAGAGTTTCTCTGTGTAGCTTTGGTGTCCTGTATTTGTAGACCTCTATTGTGTGCTTTCTGGTCAAACCTGAGGCCTAATCTGGCTGGAAACAAGCTTTGAAATTTCAGAAAGATCTAGCAAGAGACTTTTTGTTAAAGAATATATTGCTGTCCTAATCCTTAAGAGTTAGTCCAGAGGCTGAAGAGATGGCTCAGTCTCCAGGGAATACTGCTCTTCCAGAGGACCAGAGTTTGATTCCCAGTACCCACACTGGGTTGCTCACACTGCCTGTAACTATATCTCCAGAAGACCGCACACCCTCTTCCGTCCTCCAAGGAAACCGGCAATCACGACACACAGACATATATAAACACATACGCATACATAATTTGTTTGGGTAGATATTTAAAATTTAAGTTAATCCAACAGGCATGTGAATCACCTGGATGGGAAAGCACCCCACAGAAAGCTGAAAGTAGCTGGAAACATATAGACTGTCACAAGGGTCCCTTTGGGCCATTGTTCGTCCATTCTCACCCCATTGACAGTGTTTTCCTGTACACTGGTCTCTCTAGAGAAGCAGGTGCTATATAAATGACAGGGGCATGAGAAAAGAGGCTCAGAGGTCCTGAAAAAATGTATGCCTTTCCCCAGCTCACTTTCTCCTTCTAAATAAACGGCGTCTATCTGTTCCTGTGTTAATTAAGGCAGAGGTAATTTCAGGCACAGCTTTGGTGCTCTGGTAGAAAGGTAGGGCCGCGCCTCCCCAGCTCCGCCCTCCCCGGGATCTGAGCGACACTGGAATAACCAGTTTCTGGTGAACCCAACAGTTCTGAGACGCCTGTGATCGCGGGGTCTATGCCAGCCGCAAATCTTTCCCCGAAGTCCTTAAAGATCGCTCCGACAATCACGCTGCACGTACTCCTGGAAGTTAAGGACTGGGAGCATACCTACTTCCGGTCTCATCCCTTAGCGTCCCTCCTAATACCCTCCCACAGGTCTCACCTCGAGAACGACCTTGCGCATGCGCCCCAGCTCCTGGAGATAAGCTGCTGTGTGCGGATGGTCTCGATGAAGGTGCAAGGCTGCGGTGGCAGCGTGACAAGCCTGTGCTACCAATGCGCCCGTGGGCCAGGAAAAAGGAGCCTGTGACAGATCCTTTCGTAACACTAAGTACTGTACAAGGACCTGCGGCTCCGCCCCAGAGCCTGCCATATTCCTGACCATCAGAATGGCCGCACCTACTGTGCGATGCATTCTGGGATTAGGGTGGAGCTTTGGGCGCCGACATGTTTTTGTACGGCGGAAGCGCAAAGCATGCTGGGATTGGTAGAGTTTGTTTTTGAAGACTCACTCGGCGGGAATTCTTCAACTGGGTCCTGAGTGAGGAAGCTTAGATGAGAACGGAAGACTCAGCCGGTAGACGGTACAGCTTCTTTGATGTTCGGGGAAGCCCAGCTGGACCTCAGTAGCCACGGCGATGAGGTATGAGTGGACAAGGCTGACCAGTACAAGGCAAGGGAGGACAGCGAGGACACTTTGCTTATCTCGGGACCGCCAGGCAATAACGGCAATAGATTGATGATTGCATGTTTTGTTTTGTTTTGTTTTTTTGTGTGTGTACAGTTAGGAACGTTCGGGTCCATGTTAAACCTGCTCTGTCCGGCCAGCTTCGTAGGGAAAAGCTCTTGAGAACCTGAAGAGGAGATGGAGTCTGCGAATACTTTGTGTCAAGGCGAAGCGAGCAAAGGAGGTAGTGAAAGGGTTGGCCTGTATCACAGTAAGATCTCTTTCCAGACTTCCTAACAGAGAAAGGGCCACTGTAGGTCAGTAACTTTGTTGATCAGATAAGGATTTGATTCGGGGCGCGGTCTTTATAGGTATTGCGGCTTGCACACGTTCCGGTTTCTGCCTCACTTTCTTCCTCCCTCCCACCTTCTTTTTCAAAAACTTAATGTGATGTAATAAGCAACATGTGGGTTGAAATTGTTACTAAAAACACGAAAAGGTTGATGACTTTGTTGTTAAAAGTGTACTGCAGTCAAGTGTGATCCATACTCGAGAACTCAATTACTGAGAATCACAAGGTGGGTCAGAAACTGACACTGATCCTCCACCTCACCTCTCTGTGAGCCACCACAGCCGCCCCAAAAAGTGACAAGTGAAAGGTTTTTAAAAATCAGCAGAATACCTAGACAGGTCAGTTACTGTACAGTTCCCTTTTCATCTCTTCCAGCCAAAAGACTGAAACATTTAGCTAGTGCCCAGTTGGCTCTCTCTGCTTGGTAATTACGACTGCTCCGTGTGTGAGCACGGAGAGGAGCTGATTACAGCAGAGAGAAGTGATAACTGCTGTGATAAGGCTCCCGAGGAAATCAGAGACGTCAGGAGTCTGTGAGTGGCTGCATGAGAAGCGAGTGAAATACAGTGGTGCTGCATATTGTGGGCCTCTCTTGGTCTGTGCAAGTCTTTAAAAAACGAGATATATACTAGTCATCGGTGCCTAGCCTTGACTAGGTAGGTGAATGAGCCAAGGCTGGGCTGTCCCAAGACAAGTGAAGAACAGCTTGTTGTGTGTGTATGTTCTGATGAACCCTGCAAAGTAAAGACTAGATCCGCTTAAGGAGCCTAGTTACCCACGGCCCTTCTTGTTAGACGCATCAGGCTTCCCTGTGGGAAGATGTCATCCGAGTTGTGGCAAAGTATTGAGAAGCCTCCTTTTCCACGCTAGAGATGTGCTTTTGTGCTAAGTAGGCTTAGATGAGGTGCTGCTGCTTACAAAGCAAGCAAACCAGAGTTTCCAGCTCTCTGGTGATCAGCGAGTGTGCTTATTAGGGAGCGCCTTTAATCCAGTGTTCAGCAGAGAGGTTGATGGCTTCTGGTTCGGTTGTTTGAGCCTCTGGTGTTATAAATTTATGGCAGAGTCAGGTTTGATGGTGCACATCTTTAATCCCAGCACTCTGGGAAGAGGCAGGTGAATCTCTGAGTTCAAGGCCAGTCTGGTCTACAGAGTAGGGAGAGACCCTGTCTTAATAAATAAAGATATTTGCCCTGAATTTATTTATTTAATAATTTATCTGGCTGCCAGATCCTAGATAAATGAGACAGCTATTGTGACGACTGTTTTTGGTTGTCAGCTTCATATAACTGTGAAGAGGGAACCTCAATTCTTGAAGGATTACTTCATCAGATTGGTCTGTGAGCAATTTCTGTGGGGCATTTTCTTGATTGCTAACTGATAGGGGAGGGGGATTGCATATGAAAACTAGCTGACCATATGCAGAAAACAATCCTGGTCCTCTGTGTTCTCTACTTCAGTTTCTGCCACCCCCGGGGCAGGCATTCTGGGTTGATTATGAAAGCCAGCTGAGCAGAAGCTAGGTGGTAAGCATGTTCCTCCGTCGTCTCCTTCAATTCTTGCCCTGGGTCCCTGCCACTGCTGGATAGGTGGTCCTGGGGTGTATAAGAGAGCAAACTGGCGATTACAATAAAGCTGCTACAAACATGGTTGAGCAAATGTCCTTGTTGTGGACTTGAGCATATTTTGGATATATACTCAGGAGTGGTTGGGTCTGGGGGTCTTGAGGAAGCGCCATTCCTAATTGTCTGAAAAAGCACCAGATTGATTTCCGGAGTGGTTGTGCAAGTTTACATTCCCACCAGCAGTGGAGGAGGGTTCCCCTTTCTCCACATCCTCTCCAGCATGTGTTGTCACTTGAGTTTTTGATCTTAGCCATTCTGATGGGTGTAAGGTGAAATCTCAGGGTCTTTTTGATTTGCATTTCCCTGATGACTAAGGACACTGAGCATTTCCTTAAGTGTTTCTCTGCCATTTGATATTCCTCTGCAGAGAATTCTCTGTTTAGCTCTGTACCCCATTTTTTAATTGGATTACTTGGTTTGTTGGTGTTTAACTTCTTGAGTTCTTTACATATTCTGGAAATTAGCCTCTTTCAGATATAGGGTTGGTGAAGATCCTTTCCCAGTCTGGAGGCTGTCATTTTGTTCTGTTGACAGCATCCTTTGCTTTACAGAAGCTGTTCAGTTTCATGAGGTCCCATTTATTGATTGTTGATCTTAGAGCCTGTGCTGTTGGTGTTCTGTTCAGGAAGTTGTCTCTTGTGCCAATGAGTTCTAGGCTGTTCCCCACTTTTTCTTCTAACAGGTTCATTGTATCTGGTTTTATATTGAGGTCTTTGATCCACTTGGACTTTACTTTTATGCAGGGTGATAAATATGGATCTATTCACATTTTTAAACATGTAGACAAACAGTTAGACCAGCGCCATTTGCTGAAGATGCTATTTTTTTTTCCATTGTATGTTTTTGGCTTCTTTGTAAAAAATAAGTATCTGTAAGTATATAAGTTTATTTCTGGGTCTTTTATTTGATTCCATTGATCCACCATTCTGTTTCTGTGCCAGTACCATGCAGTTTTTATTACTGTTGCTCTGTAGTAGCCAGAATGTGAAAACAACCCAGATGTCCCTCAACATCTGTACATCTAGATACAGAAATTGAAGTACATTTACACAATTGCAATACTACTCAGCAATTACAAACAAGAAAATCATAAAATTTGCAGGCAGATGGTGGGAACTAGAAAAGATCATCCTGAGTGAGGTGACCCAGAAGCAGAAAGACACACATGGTATATACTCATGTATAAGTGGATATTAGTCCACTTATAATACAGCATAAACATATTAAAATCTATAGTCCTAGAGAAGCTAAACAAGAAGGAGGACCCTAGGGAAGTTGCTCAATCCTCACCCAGAAAGCAAATGGGATAGACATTATAAGCAGGAGAAAACAGGAACAGGACAGGAGCCTGCCACAGAGGGCCTCTGAAAGACTACCCAGCAGGGTATCATAGCAGATGCTGAGACTCATAGCCAAATTTTGGGTGGAGTGCAGGGAATCTTATGAAAGAAGGAGGAGATTCAAAGATTCCTGGACGGAACAGGAGCTCCACAAGGAGACCATAACCTAGACCCCTTGCTCAGATGTAGCCCATGATAGCTCAATCTCCAAGTGGGTTCCCTAGTAAGGGGAGCAGGGGCTGTCTCTGACATGAACTCGGTGGCTGGCTCTTTGATCACCTCCCCTGAGATGGGGAGCAGTCTTACCAGGCCAAAGAGCAAGACAATGCAGCCAGTCTTGAGATCTGATGGGCTAGGGTCAGATGGAAGGGGAGGAGAACCTCCCCTATCAGTGGACTGGGGGAGGGGCATGGTAGGAGAAGAGAGAGGGAGGGTGAGATTGGGAGGGGACAAAAGAGGGACCTACAGCTGGGATACAAAGTGAATAAATTGTAATAAATAAATAAATAAAATTTTAAAAAAAGGCAAACTGAGCAAGCCAGCAAGCAGCACTCCTCCATCTGCTTCAGTTCCTGCCTTAAGCTTCTGCCCTGACTCCTCTTCACAACAGACTGCAACCTGTAAGACAACATAGGCCCTTTCCTCCGAGTTGCTGCTTTTGGTCAGCATTTAGCACAGCAAACCGTTTCTTCTTGCAGTATGCTTTTTTTCCAGTTAACCCTGTGAATTTTTTAATTTTAATTTATTTTTTTACTTTCTTCAGGTGTTTTAGCTTACCTGCAAAGACTAGAAGCTCAAATGAACAGATCCCATAGAAAATCTGAAGAGCCAATTGTTCCTGAAAAGGAAAGTTCTCTCAGAGCCAAGATTCAGGAACTCCGTCAACAGCGAGATAAGCTGAGGGCTGAGGTGAAGCAGTGGCGAGCCAGAGTGAGTAGAGGAGTGAGTGGCGCCCCCGGGGCGGGGTGGCCAGCTGCGGTCTGGGAATCTTGGAATCCTGGAATCCTGGATCACGTGTTTTACTTGGGATCCTACTGAGCAGATTTCAAGGTCTTTGATTCTTCAACCATCAGACCTGTGGAGATGTAGCTGAGATTATCAACTTACTCATGGTCAGGCGTTGAGGAGGCAGGCGAGTTCTCTGGGATAGTCTCCTCGGCCTTCTCTCATGACCTGAGCCTGGGACCTCAGCCTCAGCAGATCTGATCGTTTACAATTTTACCTTTGGTGCCAACCTCCTGTCACCAAATATCAAAATATCACAGCGAACATTGGCCATCCCTTCTTTCTGCTTTCCACTGTTGCTGAAGTCCAGTCAGCTGATCTGTCAAATGTTTCTTTCTGTTGTCTTTGTGCTTAATGCCTCCTCTGCCAACATATATATCAATATATGTGGTAGATACTTACCTCTTTACTTATTTGCTTTTTACTGAAGTAAAACATATGTGATGGCGTCCCATCACATATGGGAAGCTAATGGTCGTCTTAAGGGGTACAGGCAGGTTTCTACCAGAGATGGAAAACATAGGCTATTACCAGTATCCCAGAGTTGTCCTTTTGCCTGAAGCGTAATCCTTGACCCAGTTTTTGTAACCGAGCATGGTTTTTCCCTGGTTTGAATCTTGCTACTTAGCCAGGCTTGAGTTCCCTTTGACCCAGGCTGACCCAGAGCCCGCAGCCACTCTGCCTGCTGTCCCAGCCTCTGAGTGTTCCCACAGGTGGCTTGACTTCACACAGCTGTGGAATATAAACCCTTCTGTCTGGCTTACCTTGCTGAGAGGCACAGTCTGCAACTTAGCCCTGCCGTTATCACTACACAGGAGTTCTATTTTATGACTGTTACAATTCACCTGCTCCCCTGTTGACCCCGTGTGGGCTTATGGGTTATTTCACTTTGGGTTCATTTTGAAGATGGTACTGTGATGTTCCTGTCGTTCTTGTTTCGTGTGAAAACATGACACTTTTCTGTTAGGTACAAGCCTTAGCTTGGGCCATGGAGCCTGTATCTTAATTCTGACGACATGTCTGTGCACATTTATGTTCCCAGCATTCCCTATTGAGCCATTTCTGTTATTTTGCGACTTTACCAATACTTGGCATTGTCAGTTTTAAGTTTTGTCATTATGGTAGGACTATAATAGTTCTTATTATGGACTTCATTTGTATTTGACTTTTTTCTTGTCATTCTCTAAACAACAAAGTATAAGCGGTTTTTATAATTTTGCACAGTATTTATACAATATTAAGTGTTGCTAGATAAGTTAAAGTGTATGAGAAGTGGAGGTTATATGCAGATACTCTGGCCTTTTAAGACAAGGTACTTGAGCATCTACAGACTTGGGTAACCACAGCATTTTGGTCAGCATTTAGCACAGTAAACCGTTTCTTCTTGCAGTATGCGTTTTTGTTCTTGCAGTATATGCGTCCTAGAATCAATCTCCCTTCAGTACTTTGTGTTAATTCCTGAGAAATCCAAGTATTTTTTCCCAGGCCTTTGAAATAAATGTCATCAGTTAAGGATTTTTTTTTTTTTTTTAATTTACATACTTTGGGTTTGGCTTCTTTCCTTTAGATAGACTATGGCTTGCCTTCCATTTCTGTAAATGGAGATCAGCTTTGAAACTTAGTTTTGTATTCCTGTTTCATAAATCTTCATCTAGCACAGTAAAGGTGCTATTCTGTGCTATTTTATACTTTGTTACATCTTTGAGAGATCGTCTTTCTAGAGTAGATTTTTGTGTGTGTTGTCATGCTTACCCATACTGCCTTCCAGTACGCTTTCCAAACAGAACATCTTGAAAAGATGGCTTGTGTCACTGTATGGTAGTTGGTCACTTTTGGATACATTTGACTCCCATTGGTCTGTCAAAACACAGCTGAGCTTGTGTTTTGAGGGCCAGGTGTTTTAGGCCAGGCTGTCTGTGGCAGCTACATAGCTCTGCTTTGTTTGGATGAAGCTGTGTAAAATGGGCATGGTGTGAGCTGGTTAAACCTTCAGAAAAGCACCCTGTTAATCATGGTGACACAGGCCTTGTGATGCCAACAAATGGGATGTTAAGGAAGAAGGAATTCAGGACCAGCCTGGGCGCTCTTGATACAAGCTGTAGTTTGGTAACCCCTGAAGTGTTCATATCGTCCTTTAGATGTTCCTCTAATTGAGTGCTCTATTGTGTAGGTATGTACTTGAAGGCGAGGTATGGCACACGCCTTTAATCCTAGCAGAGGCAGTGGATCTCTGAGTTTGAGGCCAGCCCGGTCTACATAGTAAGTTCCAGGACAGCCTACATAATAGAGAGACCCTATCTCAAAAAGAAAAGAAAAAGAAATACCTTCTTCCACCATATTTGGAATCTAAAGATTAGATTGGACATCATTTTTGGTCCTACTTTAAGGATGCCATCTGTTATCTCTAGGCCTATATTTTCATGATTAGTCTTACTAGGTGATATTCTTTCTTAAATTTGTTTTCTCTCTCTCTCTCTCTCTCTTTCCAGTGATTTTATGTTCTCTGTGCTGTTTGACAGTTTGATACCATTATGTGGTCAAGTATGGTGTTCTTTACTTGCCTTGGTGATGCTTAAATTAATACTTGAGGTTTTTCTTTTATTGAAAAATGTGACTTTTATTATTTCAAGTATTGTGTAGTTGGCATTCCTTAGTATATTTCTGGATTCCCATAAATACTATATGTTTGTGTTTTCTGTAAAATAGCTATACTGATTTTCTAATCTTTTTTGTGTTTATGCTTGTATTAATGAATATTTTTAAAATACCCATTTCATTTAGTCACCTTTTTTTTTTCTCTTTTTCTGTCATATATTATATCTCCCCCTCAGTTCCTCCTCTCGTCTCAGTTCCCTCACATACATCTCCCTCCTCCCCTCCTCCATTTCTCTTCAGAGAAGAACAGGTCCCCAGGGATATCAACCAAACATGGACGTATCAAGTTACACTTAGACTAGGCACCTGCCCTCACGTCAGGGCTGGACGAAGCAACCCATTGGAAGGGAAAGTATCCCCCGAACAGACAAAAGAGTAGTCAGAGACAGCCCCCACTCCCACTGTAAGGGGTCCCACCAGAACACCAAGCTATGCAACCACAAGGTCCGTGCAGAGGACCTAGCTCAGACGTCGTGAAGGCTCCATGGTAGCTGCTTTAGTCTCTGTGAGCCCTGGTTGCTTGATTCTGTGGGCTGTGTTCTTATGGTATCCTTGACCCTTCTGGCCCTTCTAGTCCTTCCTCCCTGCTTCCCGGAGCTCCAGCTCATGTTTGGCTATGGGTCTCTGCATCTGCTCCCATCAGTTGCTGGATGAAGTCTCTCTGACGATTATGGTATGCTCTGGTGTCTGAGACATGGACTCCATCTCGTGGCATGGGTCTCAAGTTGGGCTAGTCATTGACCACTCTCACAAATTCTGTGCCACCTTTACCCTAGCACAGCTTGCAGGCAGGACAAATCGTAGGTCAAAGGTTTTGTGGCTGAGTTGGTGTCACACCCCTCCACTGGAAGCCTTGCTGGTTACAAAAGATGTCTGTGCAGGCTTTGTATCCCCACTACTGGCTGTCTTGGGTCACCCTCATAGATTTCTGGGAGTTTGCACTGCACTGTTTCTGCCTCGCCCTTGAAATGTACCCCAATTCCAGTTGTCTCTCCCAGTATTCTTTCCCTCCACCCACCTACTCCCATAACCTGATCCCTCCTGTTCCCATCCCCACTCTTCCACCATTCACCCAAGAAATCTATTCTGTTTTCCCTTCCCAGGAAGATCTATGCATATCTCCCCTCCCCTCTGCTGTGAGCCCTCCTTGTTATTTACCCTCTCTGTGTCTGGATTATAGCATGGTTATCCTTTACTTTATAGCTAATATATACTTATAAGTGAGTACGTAACCATGTTTGTCTTTTTGGGTCTGTTACCTAACTTGGGATGGTTTTTTTCTAGTTCCATCCATTTGCCTACAAATTTCATGTTATTATTTTTTTTAACAACTGAGTATTAAATACTCCATTGTGTAAAAGTACCACATTGTCTTTATCCATTCTTCAGTCGAGGACCATCTAGGTTGTTTCCACTTTCTAGCTATTACTTATAGCTGCTATGAACATAGTTGAGCAAGTGTTCCCTGTGGTAGGTTGGAGTGTCCTTTGGGTAATGTACCCAGGAGTAAAATAGCTGGATCTTGAGGTAGATCAGTTTCCAGTTTTCTGAGATGCCACCATATTGATTTTAAAATGGCTGTCAGAGTTTGCACTTCTACCAGCAATGGAGAAGGGTTCTCCTTGCTCTACATCCTTGCCAACATGAGCTGTCTCTTGTGTTTTTTATCTTAGCCATTCCGACAGGTGTAAGATAGAATCTCAAAGTCACTTTGATTTGCATTTGCATTTGTTTTTCTTGGCCATTTGAGATTCCTCTGTTGAGAATTCTGTTTATATCTGTAGCCCATTTTTTTAATTGAATTTTTTTGTTTGTTGATGTCAAGTTTCTTGAATTCTTTATATATTTTGGATATTAGCCCTCTGTTGGATGGAGGTTGGTGAAGATCTTTTCCCATTCAGTAGGCTGCCATATTGTGCTATTGACTGTGTCCTTTGCCTTACAGAAGCTTTTCCATTTCATCAGGTCCCATTTAATAATTGCCTGAGCTGTTGGTGCTCTGCTCAGGAAGTTGTCTCCTGTGCCAGTGCATTCAAGGCTCTTTCCCACCTTCCTTTCTATCAGATTTAGTGTATCTGGTTTTATGTTGAGGTCTTTGATCCACTTGGACTTGAGTTTTGTGCAAGGTGATAGATATGGATCTATTTGCATTTTTCTACATGCTGGCACCCAGTTAGACCAGCACCATTTGTTGAAGATGCTTATCTGAGAAGAAGGTATATTCTTTTGTGTTTGGGTGAAATGTTCTGTAGATATCTGTTAGCTCCATTATTTCTCTTTAGTTTTTGTCTGGATGACTTATCCATTGGTGAGAATGGGGTAATGAAATCTCCCACTACAAATGTGTGATTTAAACTTTAGTAATGTTTCTTTTACAAATGTACGTGCTCTTGTGTTTGGGGCATAGATATTAAGAATTGAGGCGTCATCTTGGTGGGTTTTTTCTTTGAATGGGTTTTTTCTTTGAATATGAACTGTTCTTCCCCATCCCTTTTGATTAATTTTGGTTGGAAGTCTATTTTGTAAGTATTAGAATAGCTACTCCAGCTTGCTTCTTGTGCCCATTTGCCTGGAAGCTCTTTTTCCAACCCTTTACTCTAAAGAAATATCTATCTTTGATGTGAAGGTGTGCTTCTTGTGTGCAGCAGAAGGATGGATCCTGTTTTTGCATCCATTCTGTTAGCCTGTGTCTTTTTGTTGGGGAATTGAGTCCATTAATTCGAGGGAGCTTTAGGAAGGGCAGCTTCTTCGAGAAGGTGGGGGTATTTTGTTGTTTTGTTTTTTGTTGTTTTCTTCCTCTATACCTTCAGGTCATTTTCTTTTTTCATTTGGGTAATTCATCCAGCTTGCTCTTACCCTCTGAGGACAAGGTAGGCTCATAGCTGCTAGGCTGTCTCTGCAAGTGTGACTCTTGGAGTCCTGGCTCCTGGAACCCTACAGTCTGGCCCAGGGCAGCTTCTCCAGCTCTGCCTTTCCTCAGCCTTGTGCCGTCCCGGACTTTGTCCTTGCCTTTTCTTGCTCTCCTGCAGTCTTCTCCATTACCATGAAAGTCCTGCTTCATTGGCCAGCAGCTTCTGCTCCCGATCCCTCCCATCATGACCTACATCATCTCCCTCTGCCCTACATCACAGGACCAACCATATGGCTGCGGTCACGGAAGCACCAGTTTCTGGTGCCTTACATGAAAAAGAAACCGTCTTTCCTGTTACGCAATCAGGTGAGGGCAGAGGCTTTATGGTACCCCTGTTGTAACCAGTCAGATTTGCTGCATATCTTGCAGGTTAAAGCATCTTCTGCCAGCGAAGACCAAAACAGAACAGTGGAGATCAGTGAGCAGGAAGTTCTGGAAAGGCAGTGGGAAAACGTGAAAGGCATTCTGCAGGCATATCGTTTCACAGGTAGGACTTTCTGTTCTGATCTGGTTGGTTCTGAGTTAGTTGACGAGCTGCGTTATTACTGCTTAGATTTAGGTCCTGAGAACTTGCACATTCCGCCCCACATACACAAGTTGGAGTGCTGGTTTATAGGTCTATCTGCTTGTCGATCCTCTTCTTTAAACAGTAAAAGATTGGTGGCTCCTGGCTGGCAGGAACCATCTCTTTTCATGATCATTTACTAGACCCTCTGCCAGAACTTCGCTTTTAGTTACGGTAGTGGCTACAGTTTGAACTTCAAATCTGTTTCATTATAAATACGACTTTGTTCTTTATCTGTGCTGCAAAGGACTGTGGGAAGAACTGGGGACTCTCATAAACTAGAACTTAGAGATTAAAAAGAATACATAAAATAGAATTTTCTAAATTTTCCCTCAATATCTTGATATCTAGGGTATCTTCTCATTTGTTCATGACTTGACAGCTCGGGCTCATGTGAACCAGCCAGGAGGAATGTGGGATGTTATTCGTTTGAACAGCGCTCCTGCAGTGTGTGCCTGTGTACCAAACCTCACGCAGGCTGCTGGAGCGCCCAGGCACCCACGACCTTTGTCTGACACCTGAGCGGTGTTGTCTCACTGTTTGCCCAGGTCTCAGCGGGAAGCTGACGAGCCGCGGAGTGTGTGTTTGCATTGGCACGGCCTTCGAGGGGAACCTGCTGGAGTCCTACTTCCTGGACCTTGCCATAGAGAAACCACTCCGGATTCATCACCATTCCATCCCAGCCTTCATCCCTCTAGAAAAGATAACCGCAGCATACCTACAGACTGATATCCAGCGCTTCCTGTTCAGTCTCTGCGAGTATCTAAATGCCTACTCGGGGAGGAAGTACCAGGCAGATCAACTTGAGGTACAAATCTGGGAGGGATTTTTGTGTCTGATTTTATTGCCCATGACAGGCTTCAAAGGGAGTCTTCAAGGAAGACAAAGGAAAATGCTTCCTTAAAGAAGAAAGCTCGTTTACTTTTGAGACAGAGTTCTTTAATCCTAGCTGGATATGTGGGCCATGCTGGTCTTAAGCTTGGGCCAGTTACCTGTCTCTGCCCCCTACATGCTGGGATTACAAGTGTGTGCCAACATAGCTGATTTTTATTAGTTTTGTTTTTTGCAAGGTTGGAGATGGCATCTAGGGCCCTGTGCATGCTGGGAAAGCACTCCACTATTAAGCTACAGCCACAGTCCTTATGTTTCCTAACGCTGAGCCAGAAGAAGTCAGTCCGTTACTTTCTTTTACTCTGGTTGGTTGGTTTGAAATAGGGGTTCACTCTGTAGCCCAGGCTGGCCTGGAACCTGCTATGAAGTCCAAGTCAGCCTCAGGAGTATTCCTGCCTTAGCGTCAGTGGTGATTACAGCATGTGCCACCACCCCCGTCTTGTCCACTCACTTTCTGATACTTGTTTGTTACCTACAAGTGATTTCCCTCTCCTTACCTCATAGCCTTCAAACCTCATGGTGATGTTAGAGGACAGGCCCTCGCTACAGGATCACAGTCCTGATGGTGATCTTCAACCTTTTAATTCAGCTCAGATTTTGACCTCTGATGTTTTATGCTCAGTGCTGTGCTGAAACTAAGTGCAGGTGTCCAGTACCATGGAGGACTGTGTAGATCTCCTCCTGAACTTCGGCCTGCCTGCTTAGGGTGGAAACCTAGGCAGGGGATAAATACAGAGAAAGTTAGTGCCTCTGTAGCTGAGCAGTTCCACCTCTGTCCAGCATGAGTTAGAAACAAAATGTCTTTGCACATAAGATAACCTCAGTGAAACTCTTGGCAGAAATGGTATTTCTCTCTCTTGCTCCCTGATCGTTCACTGGGCAGTGCTTTCTGCCAGACTCTTGATGGCCTTTTGTCTCTGTGAGACAGTTTTGTATGTTATCAGGCTGGAGAGGTTGCCCTGTATCACATGGTGCCTCTGGAGCAGTAACCACGCCCTCTCCATCCTAACCCTGCTAGAGTGACTTCCACGCCTTCCTCACGGAACCTCTGCAGAGAAACGCCCTGTGCAACCTGCTGTCGTTTACCTACACAGTGGAACAGAGATGCCAGACCTTCTCCTTTAGTGCCAGGTTGCTGTATGAGGACCTCACAGCAACTCTTCCCACGGATGTCACTGTGACACGGCCAGGTACGAGGAAGGACGCCTCCGTGAAGACACCGCAGCTCTGGTTAGAGCAGGTAGAAGGAAGCACGTGGCGTCACACCAAGTAGACCACTGAGGGCGCCTCTGCTCACACACTAGACATTTACCAGGACACAAACACAGTTCTCTGCTACCAGTTTCTCCTTTGTAAATGTTAAGCATCATTCTTAGTTCTCCCCTCTCCTTGCCTTTCCCAGAATTCTTTCAGCTTACAGTTCGTTTTCCTGAGTGTGTGCCCTACCACCCCCAGGACAGACAACTAAGACAGTTCTGGGGTTGTCTGTGGTGAAGTTAGCATACACTTAGCCCTCTGGGTTATCTTCTGGTGGCAGTTTTTCATGGCTGGCCAGGAGAGTTGTTTTCACTTGCCTAGAGGTACCATAATAATCTGACATGGACAGTGATTTGAAAAAAGAGTCAGTATTCTAACAGTGCCCCAAGTTTCACACCCACGGGTTTTAGATTGCTCTAGCCTTTTGTTAGTTTGTTTGTTTCTCTACTCAGAATTACATTGTTCTACTAGGGGTAAACCTCTCTAGAGCTTCAGACAAAAAAAATAAAGGAGAGGCAGTGCTCTGGGTTCTGATTTCCCTGTTTGGGTTGAGCTTGACCGACTCTCTCCCTTAGGGCTGGAAGCATCATCCACCCATTGGGAAGAGTGCAAAGCATCCCATGAAATGCTCTTCCGTACCAAGCCCCTGCACCAGGTGTTTGCTTCATTTTCCAAAGAAGTTGAAAAGCTGGATTTAAGCCTGGTCTTCTGAAAAACTTTCTCTTTGGGACACATCTGAAGTGAATACATTCATGCCACCTGCGGTCCAGGACCCAACAACGAAAGCTGTGGAGAGCTAGCGCTTGCCTGGACACCACCGTGAGAACAGACACCCACTTCATGGGAATGAAAGGGACCTTGTTGAGTCCATGTCTTTAGACACTGGGCAGTTTGGACAGTTCTGTGTGACTGCCTGATCGCTTGGTACCATGCTCCAGATTGTCTCTTCCGCCTCTAAGTAACAGTGTTGATTTGATCGTATGCATATACTCCTGCTGAAAATCAGCTAACCTGGGGGTAATGGATGACATTTTGTGAGCATCTCCAGCTTTTGTGGGAGCCATAACTATGACAGGGTTAAGAAGGGGAAGTGTTTAGTCTTTGGTTTGGAGCAGCATGTTCTAGGCCACTGTTTGGCGGATGAAAGTAATTTTTATAATGAGGGGTTTTGTGTACTTTGTTTCCTAAGGTATTTTTTGGTGGCGAGCTGAGTGCATGAAGTCACTTTGAGAAAGAATTGCTGGAAATCTGCACACAGATTGGTGGACCCTTCCCTGTCATGTCTCCAGGCATGGCTGTGGCTGTCTTCCCCATTTCCTGGACACTTTTAACAGACCTTCCCCTCTAACCACGGGCCTGTGCAGTGCAGCTTGCACTTAGCTTAGACCTGTCTGCTGCTCAAGTTCCCCTGTTACAATTCCCATCCTTCCTCTCCTAGTCCCAAGTAACACCTTTATTCCACAGGCCCGGCATTTGGAGTAAAGGTTCATGTGGGGGAGGAGAGGTCTGTGGCAGCAAAGCCCTGGTCGCAGTAACAGAATTGCCACAACAGTCCCATCAAGTTGAGTAAAGCTTTTAATAAACAGTCCTGTTCTTTATCAACACCTGCAATTCTCTGTTGAAGCAGTAGCAAAGGCGACTGTAGCAAGAGCTCAGAAGACAAGGCAATATTGGAAAGTTGTTTTTTAAACAGGTTAAAAATATAAATGTAGAAGATCTGTTTATATATTTTTCTTTCAGAAATAACCCCCCTTCCCCCTACCAGGTGAAAGGAAATATTGCACTTTCTGCTCTCGTGACTAAGGTGACACAGGGGTTCCAGAAGAACCTTTCAAGATTATCAGGAACATCGGGGCAAGGGCCACTGACCTAACTGGACGGGAGGGGCAGCCAGCGATCCCAGCCAGGCGGGGAGCCTTCCCGGCACTGAGCCCCGCTCCTGTGCCCAGCCCCGCAGCCTCACTCCCCTGCCACTGCCATCCTGCTCACAGTGGCCATGGCCTCTCTAGGGAGGAAGGGCTGCGTCGGAACTCCGGAAAGGCTGTCCCAGTACTATGCCTATGACCCCTACTCCGGGGAAGCTGCAGGCACACTGAGGAGTAGGAAGAGCTGCCCTCGGAGCTCACATCCACACAGGAAGGCTGGAGGAAATCTGAAACCTAAAAGTCTATGGGAATGTGCACTTCAACAATTTGGGAACACCAGGCCTTGGTCGTTTGCCCTTTCCCAAAGCCTTTCTTCGCCTCCAAAAACATTTCCTTCCGATGCTGACCACTGCGGAGCCAGAGGCCGTTCAGGAGTTGTCCACCACTTGGTGGGGCAGTGTAACAGAGGAGCCATTGGGGAAGGCAGCTGGCCTGTCCCGCCCCTTCAAGAAAAAGGTCAGAAGCTCCCCTTTGCCTTTCACAAAGATGGGGCCTCGCCTCACAAAGCGGAAGCCATACTCTCGAAGGATGACCTGCGTTTCTTCCACCACCTGCAGGTGGAGAACAGAGACCAGGTTAGAGAGGAGGCGGCCGAGACAGTGGGTGGAGGGGGTTTCGGTGGTTAGGGCCGCCGGGTCCAGATAGCGCTGCTGCTGCTGCAGTGTGCAGGCTGTGCAGGGCTACGCCCCAAGCCCACGTGGGTGAGCAGCGCAGCCAGCCACAGGACACTCAAGCGGCAGGCTCCCAAGTCACGGCCCTGACGCAGAGTAAGTCCCTTCGGTGGTCAACTGCCAGACGGCAGGCTCTTTTCACCTGAGCCTTGGTGTGAAGGCTCTAGAGGCCTCGATACACGTACGCTTGGCCGTGCTGCGCTGCCAGGCAAGGGGGCAGTCACGTATGGCAAAGTGCACGGGCTTCTGTTGCACCCCCTGCATCCACTCAGGCGCATGCGCAGTCCTAGTTCTGAACGTACCTGGATGTTGCCCATGACCCCTGTGGATTCCATCCTGCTGGCCACATTGACCGTGTTGCCCCAGATGTCATAGTGTGGTTTCCGGGCTCCAATGACTCCGGCCAGAACCCCTCCTTTGTTCATGCCTAGGGTAGAGAAAGAGCAGTGGGTCCACGAGCCAAGGCTGCATTAGCTTCTCAGAAGCTGCCGATTCCTCTTTCACGGATGACCACCCGACCCCACCACAAGGCTCCTGGCAGGAACGCCCACGCTCCTTGTTAAGCTTCCTTCACAGCTGGCTGTTAGGCTAATAGGCCACGCAGGGCTGTGGTGGCCAGCTTCTCTGTAACCTTCCTAATACTGGAAACCCCTATAAATTAGCCTCCCCTACCAGTCTGCTTTTGCCTTTTCAGGCTGGTCTGCCGCGCTTCCCCATGGTGGTGACTTTACCTATGCGCAGCATGAAGTTGTTGAATGACTGGTTGTTGATGTTGGTGAGCGTGTCCTTCATGGCTAAAGCGAAGTCCGCCAGGTCAGCCAAGTGCTGCCAGCGCTCCTTGTCTGACTTCTCCTCCTGTGTGGAACAGGGATGGCACCGTCAGAACCAGCCAGCCCATGACAGCTTGGGGAGCATGGCCCGTTGGGGCTGCTGGTGGCATTGTGGGAATGAACCCTTGGCACAAGAATGCTCATTAACTTCATCTGGTTCTCATTTCCCATGAGGCTGCCTATCAGTCCTGTAGGCGGAGCTGCAGCTCTAGCCGCTGTATTACCTTGCTGGAGCTTGTAAAGCCATTGGTGTTGACGTCTGGGGTGACTCCTGAGGCTGCCATGTAGGTGCTGCCAATGGTTTTGATCTTGGTGATGACCCGGAATTTGGGATTGTCCAGGAGCTGAGGACAGAATCAAGGGAGGATGAGTGAGTTCACCATGAAATTTGCCTTTTTACAAGTATCAACAGTGCAACTACGAGACACTTTCTTGTAATGGCTTTATTCGCTCCATGCTACCTTGCCATATAGTCCTCAGCCACGTTAATAGCTAGTCTCCTTAGGTGGTGGAGCTCCTAAGGAAAAGTGTCCAGTGAGTGTTGACTAGGAGCTTGAGGTAGAAGGGAAGACAGTCCTTAATCCCCTGAACCTGCCAATGCTGTCCCAGGGTCCTGCCTCAGCCCTCAGACTCATCAGTTCTGGATGGCTGCAGGAGTCCAGTGACTACAAATGACCCATATGAGAAATAGTCAGCCTGGCTTAACTTGCTCCTTAGACGGGTGTCTAATGTCTTGGGATGAGATAGGAAAGGAGGGTAGCTCTGACAGAACACTCACAGAGTCAAAATCAGAGATGATCTCATTGAGGAAGCGCAGACACTCGATGCCACCGTTATTGATGCTCTCCTCAGTGTAGAAGTCGGCGAAGTTGGGCAGGGAGGCAAACATGACTCCAATCTCGTCATAAGACTGGCTGTACAGCTCCTAAAAAGAGGCCGGGCCGGGCTGGGGTAAAGCGCTTACACAGTCATGAAGGCCAGAGGTCAGTGCACAGGAGGCAGAGGCCGGCTGCCTAGTCGGACTAACCAGACACCATACAGAGGGGCCACGCAGAAGAGGAAAGCAGCCAGTGTCCATCGCCATGTGAACACGTGCACAGATGTTTATTGCCTTCACACATACAAATAAAGGCAGGACCCAAGCGCTCAAGGGATGGCTGCCCGGTGGGACGGTGTACCAACGTGAGGTACAGCTGATCTGTTGTCCTCACACATGACGTGTGCACTCAGCTTTCTGACCCAACTTTGAGTGATTAGAAAACAGCTCGTTCCAACACTAAGCAAGCAGGCTGAGAAAGATAGGAACAGCCATCCATGGCCTCTCCTCTGGTCCTGCCCTGCCTTCCCTTGGCGATGATGGGCTGTTTGCCCGGAAATGTAAGATGAAATAAACACTTTCCTCCCCAAGATGCTGAAGTCATGGTGTTTCGTCCCAGTAAAGAAACCTCACTAGGATACTCAGCTATGAGGACCCTCTCCAGAAAAGGTCAGTGAAGTGGTCGACCACCTTGGTTTGGAAAGGTCTCACTGGTCTGAAATGGGGTCCTAGAGGTGCAGCCCCTGAGCGGTGCCCTGTGGAAGAGATCCTGAGAAAGCCTCCTGTTACTGTTTCTGGTCAGGTCCGCTTACAAAGGGACCTTGAGCAATGGGGGCTGCTCTACAGAAAGGACAGGCCCCACAGGACACCCCCTTACCTCATCTCTCTTCTTGGACCCCAGGAAATGGCGGGCAACATGCTCAGGCAGCATGTTGGTGACCAAGGCCTCGTTCCACCGTCGCATCTCATAGACGCGTTCTTTCTGGTCATGGACCTCAATCTTCCACAAAAACAGTGTCCGGGCCAGCTTTTCCACCTGCAGACACAGGCTGGGTGAGGCCTGTGCTCGAAAGCTGGCCGTCCAGTGCAACGATGCACAGCAGGGGGGTTGAATATTGTTTATGGTGACACTGGAAGGAGATGGCTGAACGATCAAAGAGCTGAGAGGAGTCACCTAGTCACAGCGGCAACCCACAGCCACAGTGGGGACCTGGGCCTCTTGACACAGTGGAGATCCAACTTGGTTGCAGATCTGGGGGAGGGGCAAAGAGGGCTCTGCGGGAAGCAAGCATCCTCATCTCCAGCAGCTCCATTTATGAAGTGGTTTGGGGAGGCTGTGCTTTCCTGGCAGACCACTGGGGGGCATCCAAGCTAACTGTCCTTGTACGGATAATTCATCTCTACTGAACAAAGCCTTCAGCAGGGCTTCTCCCTTTCTCTTCTGACTCTGAGGCTAGTGAGTGAGTGCATCAGTTAACCCCACACCAGGATGAGCGCGGAGGCTGGGAGCTGCCTAGGGAACATGGCCCATGCGGGAGGAGGGAGGAACCGGAACACAGCAGAGCCTGCCCCATGTCAGGGGAAGGAGCTGCTCTTCGTAGGTGCCTGGACTTCTGAGCTCTAGGATAGCTTGCTGGAAGGCCCTGAACATGGGAGAAGAGGGTGTGTGGCACTCACGTGGCGCGAGAAATAGTAAAAGCTCAGCATCATGACAAACACCATCAGGGTCATTGAGTACTTGGAAGGCACCAGGGGCAACCTGCTGGACAGACAGGAACACACGGCCAGTGCCTTTGCCGCCCTTCACGGCAGGGCTGCGCCTCTGGCTATCACTGTGGGCCTCGGAAGCTTCCCCCGGCACATGATTAGGCTACTGGACTTGGAAGCAGCAGCAGCCCCGGCTTCCCTGGCTCCAGGCCATTCCCATTAGGCTGCTCCCTAGGTCCGTATTGATTGTGCTGCACCCGACATATCCCATCCAAGATGTAGCCGCTGCTGGGTAGACTTTCAAGGAAGGAAAGAGGCTCCCTCGCAATGGGACCAGCTACAATCTCGCTGTGTCTTTCTAACTTTGGCCACAGTTCTGTGTGGACTTACAGGTACCTTCCATTACTGTATGTGACCCTGCTACAGGAAGAGACAATTTTACCTATTAACCACTGATGTCACTGGGCTTTGTATTATGAATGACATTAGTGGGCGCATTCTTACATTATCTGTCTGAACTTTCCGAGGATGTATATAGAAGAGGATTTTTCTGGGCCATGGGTTTTAGGTGTTTCTGTTCATCCCAGGCTGGCCTTGAACTCTGACCTCCTGCCTCCGTTTAAGATTACGGGTGCACACCACCACTCCCAGCTTATGCTGTGCTGGGAACCCCATGCATTCTACCAGCTGAGCTACATCTCCGACCCCATAGGTCTATGCTCCGCCAATCCAAGCTTTTTTCTAAATGGTTATAACAATGTATACTCGAGTACCAAGAGCGTAGGAGTTAACATTGAGCTTAATAACAGAGCTTGAAATTTTTGCCAAATTGGTAAGGGTATAGTGATGGTTGGTTGAGGCTTGAATTTGTGTTTGTTTTGTTCTCCTTATCTAAATGCCTTTTGTTGGTGTCCGTGTAAGAGTTTGTTCCTCTGCTCTGAAACTCACTCTGTAGATATACGCTGGCCTTGAACTCACAAAGATCTGGAGGCCTGTGCCTCCCAAAAGCTGGGATTAAAGGTGTACACCACTGCTCTCTAGCCATTTAGACTTGTTTTATGATGGACACATTCACGTCTCCTCATCCTCCATCGGCCCTGTCTGCTGGCCTCAGGGTCTGCTCTACTTACTGAACCATAAAAGTCTAACACTTTCGGGTGCATCTTAGAGAACATTGATGTTCTCAGAAGGGAAGACAGCCCGGGAAAGCTGATCTGCACTGGATTCCAGGGGGGAGTGCCCCCTGCCACAGATAGAAAACCAGTCTTCATTCCAACTTAGCCCTCTTTCCTCATTTTCCTGCCTCGGTTTATCCTGCCAGCCCATTAAATGCAGCTGCCATTTGGTGGTCTTCCTCAGCTCTAGCCTCTGTGCCCTGCCCTCCACACACACAGCTCTGTGTCCACACTTCTGTGCAAGAGAGACCCAGATGGCCAGGTCCAGACTGGACATGGCTTCTGGCCAGCAATCCCAGAGAAATACACAACTCCTCTCTCTGTGGACCTGCAGTTGTGTTCCCCTTCTGTCTATGGGAAGGGCTGTGAATGCAGGCAGCGGGAAATACAGTCACCTACCTGTCGGTGCCATTGAGCCCAGGGGTGGGGAGTGCCTGCATCTTCTCTAAGGCCACCACAGGAGAGCTGTGAGCAGATAATAGCACGTTCAGGCCACACCTGGATGTGCCAGGCCAAACACCGAGGCGTCCCAAATCTTGTCACTGAGACGGAAAGGACCGCTCCCGACAACCCCTGCATGTCTGTAAGAAGCCCTGAGTCCTATTACCCATTCCTCTGATGAACCTGAGGTAGAAAGCCACCTCAGCACAGGCCCAGAACCTTGAAACGAGGACGGGGTGGGGTGTGAGAGGAAGGGGACCATGCACCCCCCATCAGGCCTCATCTTACTCCTGTCCCTGAAAGCGCTTGTGGTCGTATTCATCAAAGATGGGACTCCAGGCGTACAGGTTGATGGCCGTCACCGCGCTGGTGACGAGCAGCATGAGTGTGAGCTTCACCATGTGGCTGACCTGCACCAGCATGATGGTGGCGATGAGGGACAGCACAGCAACGTAGCTGTAGTACTTGGGGTTCTCCATACAGCCGCCGTCCAGCTCCATCCCAGATGTCACATTGTAAGGTCCCATGTAGTACTGAAGACAGCTGAGCTGAGGGCCGGAACAGGGGGTGGGGGGTGAAAGGTCAGAGGGCTCTTCGATGGCAGTGATCATTCGGCTGGCCCCCGCCACGGTGCCCTCAGAGTGCCGGGAAGTCTAGCAGAGAGTAAACCTTCACATTGGTGACTGCTGCGAAGAGCCTTATCATGATCTCCTCTGATGTCCAGAAAAACTCCCTGTGAACTGGTAAGCACTGCACCTGCTCTACAGATGTCTGAAGATGGAGACCCAGGAGGAGCTCCAGGCTCCTGGTCCAGCGTGCCCGCCACGGCACACCTGCTGCAAGGGAGGCTGCGCGGCCAGCCAGAATCTCTCTGGCCACAGCTCTTCTGCCACCACGGCCCCCCTGCCTTCTAGAGTCTGCTCGTCGGCTCCATACACTACTCTCCACAGCTGACAGCAAATGTGCCCCTCAGCCAACTAAGCCGAGTAACCTGCAGCTCACCTGGCTCTGGGTAAGGACTGGCACGTGCTGCCTGGATGTACAGGCTCCCTGTGCGCCCTTCCACGGGTCCTCAGACCTGCCTGTCAACTCCATCTGTCTCCTGATGAGAGGGACCGGGCTTCACCCGGCGCGGTGGACACCCTGCAGCCCACACGCTGCCTGCACTCGAGCGCTGACTCCTCCTCCAGGTAGGTGCCAGGCTGCAGCCGTCCAGCCCTTCATTTCTAGCACTTGTCCTGGGCTCAAGCTGCATTCTTAAGAGAAGGGCTTCTGAGGGTGCGCGCACTATACTCAGAGCAATCCTAACGACCGCTGACACTTCCTGCCCCCTTTCCCTCACAAAGCATTCGAGGAGAACAGAAGCTGGCCCTGTCTCCCCAGAGCCACCTGGGCTCTGTGGAGCTGTGTTCCTGCTCAGCCACCTCTAGAGGTGTAAGAGGAGTACCAGATGAAACAGGCCCCCTCCTCAGCCCAGTGGAACCCCAACACTGGCTATCCTTCAGGGAACACAACCCATGAATGCTCATAGCGTATACCTTAAGCCTTGTGATGGAGGAACACATCTCAGGGTGTGTGTGTGTGTATGTGTATGTGCGTGTGCCCACTTGTCCTAGTGGACATAAGATGCCTGTGCTTCTGTAAGCTAGAACAGTCTCCTGTGTCAATCCTCCACCCTCCAATGCCATTTACCCATTTACCTTTTTTTGTTTTGTTTGTTTGTTTTGTTCTTTTGTGTGTGTGTGTGTGTGTGTGTGTGTGTGTGTGTGTGTGTGTGTTTTGAGATGGGGTCTCCCACTGGCCCAGTACAACTCAAAAAATAAACTGGCTAGCCAGGGAGCCCCAGAGATCCCATTGTCTTCATCTCCCATCACCAAGACCGTGAGCACACACCACCATGCCTGGCTTTTCTCACGTGCATTCTGGGGATGAAACTCAGGCCCCAGGCAATTTATCAATTGAACTCTCTCCCAGCCTCTAAAACTGCTTCAATTTTTGACTGTTAGCATGTGACCTAAAACAAATGAACAAACCTTCCCAGGCTTTAATTTCTCCATGTGAAACTACAGATATCCGAGGACTAGGCCCACTGGATGTGGGGTGGATGGGGCTACAAAGAACTGAGCCAGTCTTGGGAAGATTTCTGAGTACCCACAGGAAGACCCTCTCCACCTGGCTGGGATGTTTGGCATCATCCACCTGAAATGTATGCTGACAGGCATAGACTGGCAACCTGGCAGCATACAGCCCTCTCCCCTGGGCTTAGGGCCCCTTCAACAAGGAAGCAAAAGCTCACCATGTCCACAACGTTGGCCATAACCAGAATGAAGATGGCCAACATGGCCCAGGTATTCCTGGCCCAGCGGGTCCGGTCAATCCAAGACGAGAAGGCTACGAGCTTCTTAGGAAACGCCTAGAAGAAACAGGGTTTCAAGGGCTTGAGCCTCCATCAGTGTGTCCTGAAGATGAGATTGCTCGTGACTGATTGTCCCCAGGCTCTAGTCCCAGAAGCCTAAAAGGCCAGGCTTTGCCTGTGGGCTCCCCAAAACTGACAGGGAGAGAGCGGAACTGTGCAAATCCTTGAGGTATGTGTGCAGCCCTAGGCTTCGAGGTCACAGCTCCTGGGTAGGCAGCTAGCGCATGTGGGCAGCACCAGAGGCGAGGCCAGGGCAGGGAGCAGCGTTCAGCCAGCCGTCTGCCTGGCCGCCTCCCTCTCCCTTTTCTGGGTTAGCACACCTAACTTCCAGGGTCACCAGGTAAGCAGCCTGTTAGACCGCTTTTCCTAAAACACTGCTCTCCCCGTTACTCTGATCAACGCCTGCCTGGCACATGACTGTCTGCAGAACACTCAATCTGGCCTTTAACGTCTTTCACACAGTTGACGCCGACCCACATGCTAGAGTTGGGTTTCCCCTTCATTGCCTTACTCCACTTGCTCATGCTACAGAATGGATGAAGGGGCGGGGGGAGATGGGTGGATGAAGTCATAACCCCCACAGACAAGTCTGTCAGGATCTGACCAGAAACCCACCTCCATCATTTACAGTGTCACTCTAGAGACCGGAGGGTTCTGAGCTCAACTGAAGAGTGCCTCTTACCCTGGGAAAGATGGCAGCCATCGAGCAGATGGTCAGGATCAAGAGCAGGACCTCCCCAACCACGAAGGTCACGTAGTTTGTCATCAGCCTGTGGAAGAGCAAAAGTGAATGGGGAGTGCAGGGACCAGCTGAGCACAAGACTGCCTGGCAGCTTTTCTCTGACCAGGGAGCTGCTGTGGCTGCCTTAGCAGAACAAGATGAGAGGCCCTGGTAGAGAGGAATGCCAGCAGAGGGCAGGGCCTGGGAATGCCACCCTTGCACAGCTAACCGCCCACTGGGACTTCTCCAGAGGTGAGGAGGGTCAGAGACACCCTGGAAATAGCCCAGTAGTAGCCTGGGAAGGGATCCTTAGGAATGAGCGTTATGCTGTAGCTGGGCTGAAAACAGTAAAGAAGAGAACACAGAAGCAGTGCTGAGGGCTGCCAGTGACCTCTGCCTGGACTTTCCCACTGAATGAGCTCTTTCCACGTCCATTTCTTCTCCTGGGAACTCTCTCTCTGTCCAGATCCTTCTCTTATATCCATCTCCATTCACTCCTCCATGGAGAACACTCTTGCCAAGCACCCCAGAAACTCATGTTGCCAATTCAGTATCCAGCTCGGGACCACCTCTTTCATTTTCTCACTTGGTTTGGGGGATCTTTGGGTCCTTGTGATTTCATTGACACACACAGGCCTTAACTGGCTTCTCTTCCCACTCACTCTCCCTTCGTGATCTCAGCGAGGCTCATGCTCCCAAGCATGCTCTGTGAGGGTAGCTCTCAGGGTTGAACCGGCAGCCCGCCTCTCCCTGAGCCCAACTATGTAACTCAGCTGCCTCATGGGCAGTGCCACACAGGCAACTCAAACTCCAGATCTCTGCTGCTCTAATGCCCTTCCTATATTCCCTACCTGGGTTATTATGACTGCCTCCTGCCCATTGCTCAAATTTTAAAAAGCCCTGGAGATGTCCTTGCCTTTGCCCCTTCATACCCCACAAAAACTCTGCCAGAGACTCCGGCCATCTGTCTCCAGAATCCAGGAATTTCCAAGGAAATTTCTCATCCAGCGCCTGGTCCTCACCTTCTCAAACTTCACCTGGTCTGAGTCTCCGCTGACTTATCTCAGTCACTGTCATCTCTTAGCCTGGTCTCAGGTCCCTCTTGCACACTAACCATCGGGTCCCCTTCTCAAATCTGTGCCAAACTTGTATCTTTCCGCAAGCCTCTGCAGCCAAGAGTATGGGCTGAGCCCAGCTCTCCAGCCTCACTCCCATCACTGTCCCTCACTATGCCGTGAGAGGCTTGGCCCACAGCTGCCTCTGTGTCTCCCGGAGACAAATATCCACAGACAGTGCGAGGCTCACTCCCCAGCCCTTCAGGGCCGCTAACATACCATCTTGATCAGCTATGACCTACGAAAGCCTACAAACCCAACTCTCTGCCAGATCCCATGTCCCTTCCTCACTTTACCCACACCTATCGCTGCTGGGCACATACTCTCGTGTTTAAATGTTCACGCCTGTTCCCACCACTACCACCACCCATCCCCCACACACACACACCCAAGAAATGCTTCAGGGACAGTACAGCACCTGTCAACTGAATGGCTCTAATCTCACCACTGTCTTGAGAGCTGGGCAGGACAGCTATCCTCACTTGGCAGATGAGCAAAACCGGGGCTCAGGGTGCCTTCAGGGACCTGCCAATGTCCTGCCTACAGAACCTCAGGTGGCAGCCGAGGCCCAAGGGTTTTGGCAGCTCCCCCAACTAAGCCAAGAAGAGCTCCATGCGGAGGACTCTGTGCAGAGGGGAGACGCTTGCCTGTCCCCTGGGGCCGAGAAGGTCATAGTGAACCTTCAAGTAAGGGCTTCCACAGCTGAGCTGATTCTGAAATACACTGTCTTACCCCAGAGGAGCCGCCACTGACGTCAGTTTGTGTCTAGAGCCTAAAACCTACTTTTATGAAGATGAGCCAAGAAAGGAGAGTCAGTGCGACTCTGGGACTAAAGTTGAGGTAATATCCTCCCCTCCCCCACCTGTCCCTATGACCTCTCCAGTAGCCATCTAGCAATTGTTGTGGATATGAACACGTTTTTGTTTTGATCTCAGGTGTGGTATGTGGGATTGATTCAGATGGTCCACAGCTTCCTGTAGGCTCTGAGAGGAGCTCTTTGCCAGCAGCAGATGGTTTAAATCTGAGAGACTAAATGCCAGAGACCAGAGAGTGTGGAGCTTAGAGAAAGAATAAGGCTCTTCCTACTTACTCCTTGCTGCTCCTGGTTGCTGTTGTGAGACAAGAAGTTGGAGATGTCCTGAAACAGGGATTGGACTGGCTCCAAGGAACCCAACAACCCTGACTGGCAGGAAGCAGCTAAGAGAACTGCGCCCCCTCTCCCATTAACCCTTTCTCTCTCCTACCTGGTGTTGGGGTGTTGGAAGGGATTGAGGTGGAATAGGGAGAAAAAGATATAAGAAACGTAAATAAAAGAGTTTTTTTAAAGTACGCCAACAAGCAATGTCCTCCATCCTCTTAGATGGGCCTGTCATCAGTTTTCCTGGCACTGCTGAGAGCCAGTAGGGGTGGGGTTTGACATTGCTATGGAATGGGGGGGGGTGGTCAGGGAAAGAGACAAGGAACAGAAACAAAGCCAGAGGGGCTCTTCTCTTAAATTGCTGCCACCCGGCACCCTGCTCCCTCGCCTGGCCTGTCAGCCCCACCCTGGACCTCCTCACCAGGGGTCAATAAGGATCTCCACCATGGCCGTGCAGAACAGAACCACGCAGGAGCAGCTGAAGGCAGCCCCACTCTGCTTCTCCTTCTCCACGGAGTAGCGCGTTTCCATCTCTGGGTCCATGAACCGCATGGTTAGGAGGAACGTGTTTCTCTTCTTTACCCTGCCATGGAGACAAGCCCTGTGACCCACACGCCACACCTGCCGTGCTCGCTGGGATGGGACCCTGTTTCAGATGACTGTGGCATGCACGGAGTAAGGGCCAGTGAGGGGTGGCAGCTGCACCCACTTACACCTGGGCGGACTCCCGCTCCAGCAGGGCCTCGTTGAGCAGCTGGTTCAATTCGTGCTCGTCCTCAGAGGCATCCACCACGCGGTCGGCCAGGTCCTGGAGGCGCAGCCTGCGGCGGGGGTTGGGGAACGAGGGGTTGTCAGCCTGTGAACCAGGAAGCACAGTCAGTGGCAGGGATGGGACAGGCGGGGGAGGGTGTGGGAAAGACTAACGAAGAGTTGGGGAGCAGAGGTCCCAGGACCGAGGACCAAATCCTTTCCCGGGTTCCACCTGCCGTTGTCTCCTCGGGCCCCTAACAGAAGCTCTACAGCAGCCTGGCTCTCGATCGCACAGCCGTCAGCCTTAAGGGGTGACTGCGCAGACCTACCCGAGCTGTGTGAGTCTGGAATGCATTTGAAGCCGGAGCGAAAGCCAGATATGAGTGATACCCACTAACGGCTAAGCATGAAGACTGGGCTTCTTAAGCCATGTCAAGGCCAAGATATATAAAGTGTAAAAGCTACATAAAGTTTATAAGTCTACTTCTTGTAAAAATAGCATCTATATTCATATTCATTTATATATATATATATTTTTTTTTCTTTATTTTTATTTTATGTTCATTGGTGTTCTACCTGCACGTGTGTCAGTATAAGGGTGTCAGAAGCACCGAAGCTGGAGTTACAGGTGTGGGCTGCCATGTGGCTGCTGAGAACTGAACCTGGTTCCTCTGGAAGGGCAGCCAATGCTCTGAAACTGCTGAGCCATCCCTCCAGCCCCAATAAAATTATCCTAAAGAGAAGCAGCCAGAGGGATGCTCAAGGAAAAGCCAGCTTCTAGGAATCTCTGTCTACCTTCTACAGCATCTAAAACCTTGGGATCAACCCGTCTCCACAGAGACAGCGGCAGTGAGGCCACCAGCTTCCAGCCATCGGACCGTTAAGGCAGAGGTCTCCTGTATGGGCATGGTTGACAGGTTTCGTAATAATGGGGGATTCTGGGTGGCTTCCTCATCCTTTGGGGCAACATGCCAGCCCTTCTTTCCAGGCTTTCGGTGCACAGACCCCATGAAGTGCGACCTACTCAGAAGGGAGTGTGTACGCACACACCCTCATTCCCACACAGGCTCCCACCCTGCAGAATTCTCCCACATCCTGAATCTGCAAGACGGCTACTCCAGCCAGACGATGCTTCCGGGGGAGTGCCTTCTGGGACATCATCCTCCCTTCTCCCACCTAACTGTATTCACATCGATGGAAAGAACAGAGCCTGAACTAGTGGCCCACACCCTGCCCCCAGCATGGGCTCCCATCACAGCAACCACTGTTCCCTATCCCTGCCCTGGCGTCACACCCACCTGGGCCTCCTGCTCTTCAGCCTCCTCTGAGGTGGAGCTGCTGGCATTAGCACTCCCATTGGGCTCCTTGGTCTCAATGAGGGCGGGGGAGCTGGGTTTGGAGGACACCGGCGCTCCATTTGGCAGAGCCTGCCACAGAAAAAAAGGAGCTCATGGGGACCATGAAACATGGCCTACTCCCTACTCCGGCCTGTGGCTTTCCCATCACTGTTCCAGAAACTTCCTCCTACACTGACAGAAGTCCTGCTGACCCAGAAATTTCACCACTCAGTTTGTCCTCTACAACATTCATTTAAAAAAAAAAATTCCTGTCATTTTCATTGCTACCAGGAGTAGTTTTCTAAACAGAGAGAAGACCCAATTGTTCCAACTCCTATTTCTAAGACCGTAACTCAGTGAGAGTGCTCTGAGGTGTCTTTTGGGTGGGGCCCATGGCAGGCCTGAATTACCCCTACAAACCTGGGAGTGAGTCAAACACTGTAAAAGGTGAACAGCTTGCTTGTCCAATTAGTAAGTATCTGTTGAGATCTGACTTTTCGGAACCCATATTCTCATGAGGAAGGGAGACAATAGCAAAATAGGTAAGAGAAAGAAGCAGTCATAAGAAGGTGGAAGGGAGTGAGAAAGAGTAGGGTAGGGGTTGCTGGGGAGTCATAAAAGGGGTCACCGGGGAGGGTGTCACTACAACGATGCCATTTCAGAAGAGACAGGAAGGAACATCAAAAAAGGAAGGAGAAGTACAGGAAAACCGAACGGCTGGCAGTAGCTGTGCCTGGAGGATGTGAGTGACAGCCGAGAGCCAGCACTGCCAGAGCAGGGTAGGCAGAAGGGAGACTGTGGCACCGCCATGCAGGGACCAGGCCCAGGGCAGGCCCCCAGGACAACGCTGCTCTTTCTGTCCTGTTCCTTCCTCATTTCTGCTGGAAAACCTTACTTGGCCCTGGCTCTCCTCTTCCTATGGCCAGCCCCATCACCACGTCTCTCTCCCTTGATAGCAATGCCACTACTGTAGTTTCAGCCACTTCTGCCCCTCTCCTTCTGGATGCTGTTTTGGGACTACTACAGCCATCTTAATGCCATCTTGCCACACATGACTGCTGTCACCCAGAACTGGTTCCTGGAAGAAGCTACTGCCAGACTTACCGGCCTGGGACTCATGCATTTTTTAAGCGGCTCTACCTCTGGTTATGGCCAACCACCAGCCAGCCTTTCTATAACCACTTCTATAACCCAGGCTGGTCTTGAACCTGCTATGTAGTGCAACCTGTCTCTGAACCCCTACCTCAGCCTCCTGTGTGCTGGGACTGCAGGTACATACTACCACCCCTGGCTAATTGCTCTTTTCTAAATCCCTCCGCCACCCACTCACCCCCTCCCTTTTTTGTTTGTTTGCTTTTGGAAACAGGGTTTCTCTGTGTAGCCTTGGCTATCCTGGACTTGCTTGATAGACTAGGCTGGCCTCAAACTCACAGAGATCCGCCTGCCTCTGCCTCCCTGAGTGGAGGGATCACAGGTGTGCGCCACCTCACCTGGCCTAAATCCCTGTCCTTCCTCCTCTGTACTCTTAGAATTAGACAGAGGACTCACCGAGCCGTTGAGGCCATTTTGCGCTGTTTTCTTCACCTCTGGCTTGGAGGCAATGATGAGGTAGGTTTCGATGCCCTTCTCATCTAGGTAGTCACAGCGACTGCCCCCGTCACCAGGCTCTACATCAAACTCCCCTTTCAGGCAGTCCATGGTGCTCTGGGAGATGTGCACACGCCTGCAGGAGAGGGAGAGACCCCGAGCCTTCTCCAGAGGCAGCCCTCGCCTGCCCCGGAGACAGACAGTGGCCCACAGAGCACTGACTGATGCTGGGTACAGCAGGGACCAATGAAGCAGGCTCTGCTAACTGTGTGGGCAGCATGGCACCCACTGGTCCGAGCTCTGGCCGCAGAGGCTGTTGAATTCTTAGAACAGGAGTATAATTTCTCTTTTGGGCTGTTGAGATACCAAATTTCAATACCAGCTCTGAGCTCTAAATTCAAGAATTAGATTCTCTCCACCTTGCCTCTCTGCTGCCAAGAGGAATAAAGGCCATATAGTCACTGAGGAGAGAACAGGAGCAGCCTCTGATGAGGAGGCCCCAAAGGCAGGAAGGTGGGCCAGGCCCTCCTGCAGCCTGCCCAGACACAGGCCCCTGAGGGTAGTCTCCCAGCCACAACCAGGTGTGCTGGTTAGATCTGTCTAGCTTTCTTTCTATTTTTCATTCTGTCAACTTCATACAACCTAGAGTCATCCAGGGATAGGGAATTTCAAGTGAGGAGCTGCCCAGATTAAACTGACCCATGGCCACGTCTGAAGGAAATTATCTTGACCGATGGTTGATGCAGAGGGATCAAGCTCACTGTGGGCAGCACTGTTCTAGGCAGGTGGCTCTGAGCTATACGAGAAAACTGGCTGAGAGTGGGGAAGAGACTGAGCTAGTCAACTTCCACGGCTTCTGCCTCAGCTCCTACTCTGACTTCCCTTAATGATAAACCGAAAAGTATAATCTGGCAAATAAATCCTTTCTTCTGAAGGTTGTTTTTGAGTAGAGTGTTTTCTTTTTTCTTTTCTTTGAGTCAGGCTTTCTGTGTAGCCTTGGCTGTCCTGGACTCACCTTGTAGACCAGGCTGGCCTCAAACACACAGAGATCCACCTGCCTCTGCCTCCCTGAGTGCTGGGATTAAAGGCGTGCTCCACCAAGCCCAGCTTGGGCAGAGTGTTTTAACAAAGGAACAGGAATAAAACTACAACACGGGAACAGAAGGTAGGAACACTGCACCTGAAGGGAAGGGATTGGGGGACCCCTTGTCACAGCCCTAGGAGTGTATGAGAATGGTCCCCCCCTCCTCGGCAGGAGCACTCACCCTGGGACGCCACCAGCCTCCATCTTGTTTGCCACAGTGACGTCGGTAGACCACACATCATACTGCCAGCGCTTCTGGCCTAGGACACCGCCCAGCACAGTGCCCGTGTGCACGCCCACGCGCATGTCCACTCCAGTCTTGGTCTTCTCCCTCACATACCTGCCAGGCACAGAGAGGTGGTGCTGGGTGAGGCACATCCCCTCTGGCTTTCTGCCTGAGCTAAGCGGCCTGCACTGGGGTAGTGGAGCCCAGAGCCAGTAATGACAGGCACAGGGGACACAGTGACGGTCCACAGGGCTCTCCTGTTTTTCTCCCCTGTCCCTTCTTCATTCACGCGGTTAACAGTTCACTGAGTGAGTGTCTGATGTGTGCGCTCTACCGCTGCAGACGCAGAGGTGAACGAAAACTGCAGCCAGCTCCTTGCCAGAGAAACTCCAGGAGCGACAAACACAAACTTCAGAAATTTGCTGTCAGGTCCAAAAGAAACTCGGAGTGAATGGCTAACCGTGGTTCCTATTAGCATACCAAAGTGCATGCTGGCTGCCATGCTCTGTCAGCACGTGGAGTATCTGTTACAGAGGCTGGGGCTCTTCTCACCCCACCCCCATCCTAAACTTCTCCAGCTCCTGGGAGCCCCTTCCCCTAGCTTCCGGGAACCTTGCTGTTTTGGCCATGCGCTCTCTTGCCTGCCCCCCCTCTCTCTTGTCTTCCTTTCTTGCTCTTCACTCCAACCCGCCACAGCTAAATCCAGTCTGCTGACCTTGTTCTGCTTTCTCTCCCTGCCCTGGACTCTTCCCCCACACCTACAATATAAACCTTCCCCTCAAACATACCTTGGAGCAGTTGTGCCCTCAAGTTTCTATTTGCCAGCTGGGTTAGGAGGGAGATGAATTTTTTAATCCTAATCTATTGACAGTGGAAGAAGAAGGCAGGGGACACGAGAGGGGCTACAGGCAGGAAGCCAGTGAGCATTCACAGCTGCCCAGAGACGCCATTTGTGGGTGTCCCAGGCTCTGACCCTGACGGGGAGAAGCCTCCTGGAAGCCTCCTTTCCTACCTGGGGCTCCATGGTTCCCCAAGCTACCACAGGTGGAGTCTACCCAAGGACTGCCTCTCCAGGGCTCTCCAGGCCCAGGTGGAGCAGTGAGATGGTGCAGGAGCTCGAGGAAGGGAGTTCACCACCCTTCAGGTGGGAGCAGGGCCTGGGTTAGGCTAGGTTCCCAAAGCACCTGCCACCGCCCCTCCCCCATAGCATGTGACCTCAGAGTCCCTTAACTGCAACCCGGAGGACAAACTGATCTGTCTAGGGAGGGATACCCTAACAGCAAAATGAAAAGAGAAAAGATGGGAGAAGTCCACCAGAGGATGAATTTCCCAACTCCACCTTCCAGTAGAAAAAAAGAAAAGAAAATGCCAGAACCAAAGGGTGGGAAACATGTCCCAGCAGCTGAGGAGCCTTGCTGTTTCCCACAGCTGTGAGAGAGGGAAGCCATGTCTGGATATCAGCACCAGGACTGAGCCTATTCCACAGCTCAAGGAGATCTTCCATGGTGCTGGCCATCTGGCCGCCCCACCCTCCCAGGGGCACCCACTTACGAGATGGCCTCCACCATGGCGAGCCCCATAAGGATGGAGCACACGGCGTGGTCCTCTCGGTAGTCAGGCAGGCCGCAGATGCAGTAGTAACAGTCCCCGAGAATCTTGATCCTCAGCTGGTGGTATTTCTGAAAGGGCAGGACATGGCCTGTGCCCCTGGCCCCGAGGCTGGGAGGCAGGTGGAGGAAGGCCAGCTAGGGAGAGCCTGGGAGCCAGGGACAGGGCTGAGGGTCGAAGCCCACGGCGGCGGGAGGGTGGGCACCCTGGCTACTTACCGCTGCCAGCTTGTCAAAGCGGGCAAAGAGCTCATTGAGTAGCTTCACGAGCTCCTGGGCGCTGCAGGCGGAGGACAGCTGGGTGAAGCCCACAATATCTGCAAACAGGATGCTGCAAAAGGAGGGGCCCATCAGCCGTAAGACTCCAGACAGTGCTCCCCACCACCCGCCCCTGCCAGCAGGGAGAGGGCTGACTCAACCCTAGAGCAGTAAGACACTGGCAGGCAGCTGGACGCAGTGGCACATGCCTGGGGTGGGAGAGGCAAGCTGAGCTCTGTGAGTTCAAGGCCAGCCTGGTCTACAGAGGGAGTCCAGGACAGCCAAGGCTACACAGAGAAACCCTGTCTCAAAAAAGAAAAAGGACCCTGGCACACTTGGGTTCTAAAGCTTCTCCTCGGCAAAGTCCTGCCTGGTGACCAGCAACCCTGCCCCCTCCTGCCCTTCCCCCCCCCCCGTCCTTCCCCCACCCCCTCCTGCCCCAGGCTGATGATCTTTCTAGAATCAGGGGTCCTGGTTCTACCCTCAGAGCTGGCCTCAAGTGGCTCGGTAGCCACCCAGGAGCCCTTTACAGGGTGGTATTTTTTCAATGAAAGGTTAGACCAGTCAAGCTAGAGCCCATTTTCACTCTGCCCTCTGCTGCTATGGCTCCTTCCACAGGGCAGAGTTCAGGGGAGTCAAGGCACACATGGTAAGCCAGGCTCCGTAGTACTCAGTGGATCCCGTGGAGCCCCGAGGCCCCCTGGCCAACCCGCCGGGCGCCGGGGCCTTCACGCCATCGCACCTGACGTTCTCATGCCGGTACATGTACATGGTGTTAAACTGCTGCTGGTCCTTCTGACTCTCATCCTTCTTCATGTCCTTCAACATCTCGTCAGCCACATGCTTCGGCAGGATGGAAAGCATAAGGTTCTCCTGCGGGGAGAAGCACGGGGCTGGAGGGGAAATGGCCTGCACCTCTCCTGACGGCGCCAAGTTCGGACACTTCCGGAAAGAAACCCCCCAGCCCTGGTGAGAGGTGTCATCCAGGAAGCACACAGCCTCGCACAGAGCTGCCAGCACCCACCCATACGGCAGCAACTAAGGACCAGGCTGGGCGGTTTCTCACTCCCATGAGGCTCAGCGTTATGACAGGCATAGGAAATGCCACAGAGGAAGTCTAGCTCAGCACCCCTCTTTCTGTGAGAAGTGTGACCATCTGCGTGTCCCCCACAGGACACACTGCCTCAGTCCCTCACTGCTGAGGCCTCTACACGTCGCCCGCCGCAGCCACCAACTCAGACTCAGCAGGACTGAAGACCCATGACACGACAAGCCAGCAAGAATTGTACCTGAGCCGCGGGGCTCCTGAGGACACAGGTCGGGACTGCAGTGCAGGGTAACACTTTGGGCCCACCATGCTGAGAATGGAGGCAGCGGTGACCGCCAAAGTAGCAGAGTACCGCATGGGGAAGAAGTCAAAACCAACGGCGTGAGGTGGGGGTACCCAGGGGTCTTCACAGGAGTGAGACAGAGATGAGCCTCTCCGAGAGAGGGAGCCACATGTGCAAAGTGGACGCACAAGGGAAGTCCTCCAGGGCTTGAGAGTCGAACACACTGGCCGGTGGGCCAAATGTGCTTGCTGTGGGCTTTCATGAAGTTTTATGGGCACCTGGCCAGGCCTGCTTGTTTACACATTGTTTCTGACTGTTTTCACACCCCAACAAGAGCTGAGCAGTTATGACAAAGACCATATGGCTGGCAAAGCCAGAAATATTTGCACTCTAACTCTTTCCGAGAGAGGGTGGAGGGTGGAGGGCGGGATGCGGTTTGAACATCTGAGGGATGGCGCCAGTGCTCAAAATACAGAACCATGGAGGAAAACCAGATGTGAGGGAAAGTCGGGAGCGTGGGTGTACACGTGCCTAGGCTGAGGAGCCCCGAAAGGCCTCCACGAGGAGACACCCCGCAGGCGGTGCTTAGGAGAGGCCACACCAGAAGCTCTGGAAACCAGGGCAAGACATGAGTCAGACTGGGTGGAAGGGAAAGGCGAGGAGAAGGTAGACAGTATCATAACGGGGTGGTGGGGGGATTAGAGGAATGCAAAACACCACCCTCTTCATCCCTGAGGGGAGAAAGGCACAGCGGTGGCTGGTGAAGGTTTTACAGGATGGAAACTGTGAAGGTCAAAGTGCAAGAGGACCATGGGAAGAGGGTGGAGATGTGATAAAGCTATGGGCAGAGCAATAGTCAGGGGACTGCAGCAGGTTCCTCAGTGACAGAGCAGACACTGGTGACCAGGCCGGAGCGGGAGACCAGCCACAGCCCAAATCACCTAGTTCAAGGATGGCTGGTGCCTGGCTCTAGCCTGCGTGCTTACAGCAGTTTCTCTATTTTTCCTTTTCTGCAGCAGCCTTTACCAGTGTTAAGATCCTCAAGATGGCATCATTACAGTGCAGGAACGAGAAGCCAAAATAACCCCAGTGTGCCATGCCCTAGCTCCAGCGGAATCCCCAGGGCCCTGCAGCCCAGCAGAGCTAGTAAGACTCAGGTGACCCCAGCACTTGGCACCTCCAAACCCCTGCCAGTGGGGTGGAGTCAGAGGAAGTCTGATGCAAAATATGATGGCGGAGGGTGGTGTCTGGTGGGACCTGGGGACCTGTCCCCGAAGCTAACTTACTCCTGTTTTCATCACCTAAAAAAGCAAGAGAATCGACACTGTGGAGAAGAGCTTGGGGAAAGGATGAATCTCTGAGGGGTTTTCAAAAAAATTGGAGCCTGGGCCCTGTTAGCGACCAGTGTAGCCCGAAGAAAGCTGCTGGAGTCCTGAGTGGCAGAAGCTGGGAATTCTGAAGGAGGTGGACGCAGGCAGCAGTGGGAACTGGAGCAGAGGTTTGGACAGGCCAACTCAAGGTTCCCAGTCTATCTCAAGTACGATATATGTACGTTGCCGTCAGTGGAAATCCACAGGGGTAGGAGCGGGCAGGGTGAAGGCATGCCTCCGTATTCCCAGTGTGATATCAGACAAGTCACCAAAAGTCCCCTGGGCCTTGTTTCCTAGGTACTGGACTAAGTGGCTCATTAGCACGGAGCACTCAGAACAAGGCCTGGCCCGCAGGAAGTGCTCAGTGTATCCCAGCTGCCCTAAGCCACTGCAAAGCCTGGCTGGGGGTGTTGGAGCCTCACCGAGGTGTGGCCTGGTCTTCCTCTAGGCTTTCAGGGTGGCATTGGAGTGACAGGCTGAGTTCCCTCGGATAGCAGTGTCACAGAACGCTTTCCTGGCCCTCGGTCAGGTTGCACTCACAGGCTTTCTCGAGCAGGTGGGATGGTGAAAGGATACAAACAAGGGTCCTTCCATTCAAGTCTCAACCTCCCCGACTCTCCTGAGCCCTCCACCAGCTTACCCTGACAATTTATGTGCATACAGGGTGCTACCTGAGGAAGGCCCAGAGTCAGGGCAGCTTGGCCAGTGTTGAAGGCATGTACACAGAACTCAGGAATAGGAAGGTTCACAGCACTGAGCTAACCTTCCAACCCCGGCTGCCTGACTCCACTCAGTCAGACCACCTGTCCCTCTCTGACTTACCTCAGGGCTCTGGGACACATCAGAACCCCTTTGGGCCCCCTGAGGATCCCAAGAAAGAGTCATATGTCCCTGCCACATCCTGACACCCCTTTTAAACACTGCCTCCTCCTGGCTGGGTCTGGACCCACAGCTGCCAACAGGATGACTAAAGGAGGAGAGCAAGAAGAGAGTGGCCCTAGAGACCAACACACAAGAGCCTCAGAAGGCCCTTACTGTGGAGGCCACTGGTTTCTTCTGGGATGGCATGGTCAAGGATGTTATTTGTCCTTTTCTTTCTATTTTAAACTTTTGTATTATGCATTTCTATAACGATGTTGAAGAATGATATGGGTCTAAAGGCAGAAGGCCATAGATAAGTATCAGCCTTAAAGATACCAAGAAAAGGGCTGTGGCTCTAAAGGAAGGTCACCAATTGACTTGTGTGATATGTGGGGATCTCATTCTCAAGAGGCTTGCTTCCCCTGGATTGCTCGGCTATATTACTTATACAGCCTGAGCCCCTGTGCCCAGAAGCGGCACCACCCTGAGTGGGCTGGAACCTCCTATTATCAATCAGCATGCAAGAAAGTGTCCCGCAGCTGGGCATGGTGCTGCACGCCTTTGAACCCAGCATTTGGGGGCGGGGCAGAGGCAGGCAGATCTCTGTGAGGGGTTTTGGTTTGGTTTGGTTTTTCAAGACAGGGTTACTCTGTGTAACCTTGGCTGTCCTGCACTAGCTTTGTAGACCAGGCTGGCCTTGAACTCACGGGGGGTGGGGGGAAAGGCCCCACAAACACGTCCACAGACCACGGTTGGGAGCAATTCCTCAGCTGGCAGCCCCTCTTCCCAGGGCCGTCTAGGTTTGTGTCAAGCTGATAAAAACTGACACGGTGTCTCTGCAATCGTGGACTGTGTGTGTCAGGAACTCAACAGGAAGAAGGGAAGCTCTGCAATTCACTGTTGGTGTGCTCTCTTTTCCATGGATCTTTTCATCTTCACAACGATTTCATAGCATGATCTTCAAACCCAGATCAAAAATGACCACCTCATTTCATTAAGCTCCGTTATTTGAGTTCTGACACTATGAGTTACAACCACTGAACGTCATTATTTACAGATAGTGGTTTTGTACACAGATTTGTGTATTGGATCTATGCAATGGATACACACCAGCGCTGTGATGGAATACGTAACCGTCACACACGTTTTTGTGACGAGCTTCAGACTTGGGGTCCCTTCTGTTGCCTCCCCCCAGGAAGTACCTGTGGGTGCTGAGCAGCCACATTTCCTAGGATGGCCTTCTCATGCCTCGGGGCCATGAAGTGTCTCTCGGTATTTTCACTCTTAGACTTTCACCTTCCGCTGGCCAGTGGGGAATTTTTCCGGGGAGTGGACCGAGGAGATGTGACTTCCTTAACCTGAAGCTGCTTTTTATCTGATGGTGTGAACCAGCAGAAGGCATGTCTACTGGAGGCCGAGAAGGAAGATGTGGCGACAGTGAAGACTAAGACACCTTTGCTAAACAGATAAAGCATTTCCAAAATCAGAATGATCTTTTTGGGGGCTGGGGGGATGGATCAGTCAATCAAGTGCCGAGTTCAATGCCTGTAGCTACATAAAGGTGCTAGCTGTGGTGGCACACGCTTTCGATCCTCCCACGGCAGAGGTGGGCACAGGAGCAGCCCTGGGCTTACTAGCCAATACAACCTAACCGGTCAGCTTCAGCTAACCAAGAGACCCTGTATCAAAAAAGGTGGACAGCATTCCATTCCTACGGATGACACCTAAGGCTTTCCTCTGGCCTCCATATGAGAGAATACACTCAAATGTGCACATACATGAACACACACACACACACACACACACACACACACACCTTATCATAAAAGCTTGTAATCCCAGCACTAGGAAGGTAGAGGCAAGATCAGGAGTACGAGGCCAGTCTTAGCTACATAGCAAGTTTGAGGTCACTCTGGGTTATATAAGACGTGATCTCAGGAAGGAAAGCAGGCAGGTGGGCTAGCAGGTGGGGGTGAGGAGTGGGGGTGGGGAGTTGGTGTCATGATTCAAGGGTTCAAGGTTCCCTGATCAGGGGTTAGGCTGCCAAGGCCTCTCACCGTGGGCAAGCACTTCTGGGTGTAGCCTTTCACTTATACAGTGGGGGCCCTCTCAGGCTCTTTCCACTGTTCTAAGTCTAAAACCTTTCAGAGGGAAAACTTTTCAAAAGTCACACAAGAGTTAGTTATGTCACCAGGACTGTGATTAATACAGCTTTTACTCCAGAGTGAGCTGGTGAAATGGACAGGGTATTACTCCGAGAGCATAAAAAGTTATAATACACAGTTGAGTCCCCAAACAAACCGTGGAGGAA